TGAATTAAGGCATCTGTACATCTTGACTGAGATCTTTATGCTGAATTAGTAAAAGTGATTTCTTGTCTTGGAAGGAAAAGTTTTTGAAAAATGTTGAGTCATTGTAGTGATTGTTCTGAAAAGCTAAGTTACATTCTGTGTTTCTTGAGGACAAGAAAAGTTCTAAGTTTGGGATGTGATAACGGTTTAAAATATCGTTATCTATGATGTAATTTTGATACTAAATGCACCTCTTTTGACTTAGAAACTTGCTTTAACTCATGTTTTTGCTTTAGTTTTGTGAATAAGAGAGTTGAGGTTGAATTTGATGATTTTATGATTAATTCCTTTTGTTTTGATAGAAAATGAGTTTATACAAGAAAAAGAGATGAAGTGCTAAGGAGTTAGAGCTCAGAAAGGCCTGGAAAAGCACCTGAAGGAAGGATAGTACGAAGCTTGGACGCCCTATAGAGAAGCTCAGACGCAGAAAATCGACGTTCACCACCCGGGCGCCCTCCTAGGCTGCCCGGGCGTCGAACCTCGAAGCCTGGGCGTCCAAACTGGAGGCTCAAGCCCTACAGAAATTGACGTCTACCGCTCGAGCGCCCTAAATGGGGCGCCTGAGCGTCGTGATTCGCGGGTCAGGCCTGGTTCTTGCTCTGTTTCGACTCTTTGGGATCAGACCCTATTTCTACTCTTCTCCAACTCTATTTAAAGGACCTAGGCGCTCTAGGTGTTTTATCTCTGGCTGGAGCAACACAACAACACACTCTTCTACCCTCTGAAGGCAGATATGGAGGCGGGAGATTCCTCTTCTACTTTTAGGGTTTTACTATCTCATGCTTTTCCATTGCTCATCTAGTTTCTCCATGTCTATGGGGTACTAAACTCTATTTGTTGTTGGGGAATGATGTAACCTTGTGAACTCTCATGTATTTGAATTTATTCTTAATTTATATGCTTTATTCATTAATTGTTAGGGAATTCATCTGTTTCAATGCTTGCTCTATTTAACTCATTTAATAATATGATTTATGAATTGCATAAGTGCCGGGAGGTTCCTTACAATTCAGGTTCTTGTTGAATTCTCCCAAGGGTAATATTTCTCAGGGTTTAGGGTATGAGTACTTGGTCTTCTTAAGCTCTTGATCTTCAGACTTAATTTTCTTGGAACGTTAGGAATTGCACGAACTAAGAATTAAGGCAGGCTTATTGCGCTGAGGGATCGGGTTCTAAGTAATTTAATGAGTGACGTTAACATTAATGCATAAAGAGGAATTCTTATATACATGAGAGGGAACTTGGTGAAATCTAACCCCAACAACATATTCATCTCATATTAAACAACATCTGTCTATCTTTGTGTTACTCTACTATTGATCAATTTGCATTCATATTTAATTTTATGTCTTTGCATTTGAAACCAACAATCTCGTTTTATTTAAGTCTTAATTAATTGAGTTATCACACAATTGTTTAGTGCCTAGAGTCTTCATGGATACGATACTTGGTCTTACCATTTTATATTACTTGTGCGATTCGGTACACTTGCCGATCCATCAACAAGTTTTTGGTTTCGTTTCTGGATATCAAAAATATTGTTAACAATCATCGCCCCCGTCGACGGCAGACCCAATCCACATTACCCTTTCGCTGACACAATTTCAGATACATTGCACAAAACCCTTCTGGTTGGGACTTACCATCACCATGACGGCCTCAGAGCCCTAACATACTCGCTGTTATCCCCTCCCTCTTTAGAGGAAAGATGAATATGAAAAATTAGGGTTTCACGCTAGGAAGACGCTTCCCAAAAGCTACCACGCAATTTTCGTGAATCGCCTTCATTCTGCCGCATCTTCCAGTCTGATTAACTCTCCACCTCATCCTCTGTGGCGTACACATGACCTGAAAAAGGTTTTATTGTTTCTACTAATGTTAGTATTAATGAAGTTTATGACAGTGTCACATCAGAGCAGCCTTTCCCTCCTTCTTTTGGCAACGCATCATTCCCGCGGCTGGATATCCACCACTGCCATCGAAGCATCTCATCAGTGCTGTTAAACACGTCCAACCCAACTTCTATTCCCTACTGCTTAATCACCCACATCATCGACAACTCAGCATTGGCGAATGAATCTCTGAACAGATGATTACTCCTCTGTTGTGGAAGTTTTCATCCGATCTCTCCTCTGTATGGCCTCCTCTAGCGTTGCTGCAATCCGCCGCCGTCCTCAGCCAGGATACCCTCCAGCACCGTCCACAGGCCCTCATCGAGGGCGCTAGAGAAAATTGGACCTACGCTATCTTTAGCCAGTCCTCATGTGACTATTCCGGCTCCACACCCGCCGCGCTGTCCGGTCTAGTCCCGCGTCACCCGCTAGACCGCCCAGTACAGCCTCTGCGTCATCCGCCGCGCCCAGGTTTGAGTCTCCGCCACTAACCACGGTTTCCGCATTTTCAATGGCAACTCGGCGAGCAATTCCGGCGAGGGTGTCGCACTCAACTTCCGTGAGAGTGAGTCATGCAATTGCTTCTCATGCTTTATTTTACTTTTCACATGCTTAGCTCAATGCTTTTCATATTCCCTTTTTAAACCTCCCAACAACCCCAAACTTGAACATTTGTCAATACCACAAGATATCTTCAACTCAACTCAAGGTAAAGCTTTTCAAAAAGGGTTTTCTATCATGTTTAAAGCTAAGGGTTCAAAGGATAGAACACATTGTGCTTTCTTTTATTGGGCTAAAATCATGCATTTGGCTAATAAAGGGTTACCAACAAATGGCCTTGATCATATGATACATACAAGCAAGTGATTCAACCAAAGAAACCTGGGCAAAGTCATTCATGCTTTCAAAGTAATAACACTCATTCACAAAAATTTTGGAGTTCAAAACCTCACATATAGGTTCATTCAACATTCCACATACACATCCTACTTAGCATCATAATCATAATCACAACATCATGCATTTGTCTCCCTAGCAATTATTCATGCATTACATTCGCACAGAAGCTTAAAGGCAACCAATCCTCCTATCCTTCTGTCTAGGCAATATTGCTCTTGGGAGAATTTCTTCAGTTCTAGATTTACTTATATGGTTCCATACAGATAACATCCATGATCATGCAATTGAATGAGTTAAACAAAGCATGCGTAGAGTATAGAAGAAAAACCCTAAAAATTAATGAAAGAAAGTATTTAATCCAAAATCCTCCTCCAAGGGGTGAAGAAAAAATGATTTCGCCTCTTTCTGTCCAAAGATACTAACCCTAATTCGGCTAAAACCTTATATAGATTCCTAAAAATTACAGAAAATAGGCTCAAGCCCAAACTAAATGGTGCTCAGCGGTAATTGGCGCTCAACAGTAAGTGCGGTTCTTCTATTTTGACGCTCAGCTGCAGTTTTGCCCCTTAACTGTGACTGCGAGATTTCAGAGTACCGCTCAGCGGTAAAAGTGGCGCTGAGCGGTGATTATGGCTCTTCTTTTAAGCACTTTCACTTCCTTTCTTGAGTCCAGCTCCTTACTACTTCAACTTCTTTCCTCTAATTCATCTCCATTCCTGCAAAACAAGGAAAACCACGCATAAAACCCATCAAACTCTCTTATTTCCAAAACATAAGCAAAAGCATGATTCACAACTAGTTTCTAAGTCATAAAGGTTGTCTTTAAGGTCAAAATTAAATATAAAAATAACAGTTTTTCAACTGTTATCACAACCCCAAACTTAGAACTTTGTTTGTCTTCAAGCAAACAAAATGTAACTCAGTCTTCCATCAATCCATACAACGATTCACCACATTCAAAGCTCTCTTTTCCAAGACAAGTAATTACTCAAATCAGCTCATCACAAAGAATTCAATCAAGATGCACACATGCTTTGGTGTTCACATAATCACATATTATCCAACAAATGTTATTCTTATGAATGATCAATTAACTAAGCATAAATGTAATAATGTGCTCATCGACTATTTCCTCACCAGATAAAGTGTTTCACTCAAACACACATGTGTATAAGAGGTCACTCCTTCACTCTACTATCACAATGTCACATGAATTAGCTTTGTCTTTCATTTAACCATAATCAAATACATTCACAAGCAAGTATCATCACAAGGACTTTTCTATGACTTATGATGTGGCTAGGCTAACAAGAAAATTGGTTTTTCTTGATCACAAAATCCTTGAGTGAAGTGAATCATCTAAACACAACTATTCTTCCTTCTTCCCAAGTTTCTTTTGCATTGAGCCTTTCTTTTTCTCTCTTTTCTTTTCCTTGTTATTTTACTTTTCACGTGCTTAGCTCAATGCTTTTCATATTCCCTTTTTAAACCTCCCAACAACCCCAAACTTGAACATTTATCAATACCACAAGATATCTTCAACTTAACTCAAGGTAAAGCTTTTCAAAAAGGGTTTTCTATCATGTTCTAAGCTAAGGGTTCAAAGGATAGAACACATTGTGCTCTCCTTTATTGGGCTAAAATCATGCATTTGGCTAATAAAGGGTTACCAACATATGGCCTTGATCATATGATACATACAAGACAGTGATTCAACCATAGAAACCTGGGCAAAGTCATTCATGCTTTCAAAGTAATAACATTCATTCACAAAAATTTTGGAGTTCAAAACCTCACATATAAGCTCATTCAACATTCCACATACACATCCTGCTTAGAATCATAATCACAATCACAACATCATGCATATGTGCACATAGCTTGTGAACAACCACCTGAATATCAACATATAGTGCATAATCTCAACATCAATCAATATCCAAGCATCATCAAGCAATACTCATTATGCATAAATCACAAGCAAACCATCATAGCAGATAAAGTTTCACATTGAGTACATCACAACCTATTCTAAAAACCGAAGCAAATAAGTGAAAGAGTTTAGAACACTGGGATGCCTCCCAGTAAGCGATTGTTTAACGTCACGAGTCTGACCAAATAAGGTCAAGGATCAACCACCTTCATTACTATGGACAAACGCTCCACTTCTCATCCAAGATAATGCTTGAGACGTTGACCATTCACTACCCAGCTTCTCTGTGGATCACTAGCAACTGGATCAACCAATTCAATTGCTCCATGTGGACGCACACTTTTCACTATGAATGGTCCTGACCATTTTGACTTCAACTTTTCAGGAAAAAGCTTCAATCGTGAATTGCACAATAGCACCTGCTGCCCTGGATTAAAGACTTTTTTAATCAACTTCCTATCATGATAGAATTTTATCTTTTCTTTGTAATTCCTGGATGAATCATATGCATGCAACTGCATCTCTTCAAGCTCCAGCATCTGCCTTCTGCGCTTGTGTTGAGTTTCAGAAGGATCAAAATTCAAAAATTTAAGAGCCCACAAAGCTTTATGCTCCATCTCCACTGTCAAATGACATGCTTTCCCATAGACTAGCTGATAAGGTGATAGACCCATAGATGTCTTCATTACAGTCCTATATGCCAGAGAGCATCATCCAGTTTCTGTGACTAGTCCTTTCGTGATGCAACAACTGTTTTCTCCAAGATCCTCTCGATCTCTCTGTTAGACACCTCAGCTTGCCCATTGGTCTGTGGCTGATAAGGTGTAGCTATCTTATGTCTCCCACCATAATGTTTGAGTACTTTTGCCAGCTGATAATTACATAAATGAGATCCTCCCTCACTAATAAGTACTCTTGGAGTTCCAAAATGTGAGAAGATCTGCCTCTTTAGAAATTTAATCATAGTGCTAGCATCATTCTTGGGACACGCCAATGCTTCCACCCATTTACTCACATAGTCCATCGCCACCAATATATATTCATTGTTGAAAGATGGTGGAAAGGGTCCTACAAAATCAATACCCCAGCAATCAAAGACTTCAACCTTTAGAATGCCCTATAATGGCATCTCATGACGTCTTGAAATAGTCCCAGTTCTCTAACACTTATCACAATTCCTAGCATGGTTATGAGTATCTTTAAACAAGGTAGGCCAATAAAATCCTGACTGGAGAACTTTTGTTGTTGTTCTTTCTGCATTGAAATGTCCTCAATAAGGCGAGTCATGATAGTGCCAGAGAATTCCTTCTGCTTCTTCATTTGTCACATACCACCTTAGAAGATTATCTGCTCCAATTTTGAACAAATAAGGATCATCCCAGATAAATTGCTTGGGATCGTGCAAAATTTCTCTCTTTGTTGCCAATAAAGATCTTCTGGAATTACTCCTGCAGCTTTAAAATTGGCTATATCAGCAAACTACGGCCTTTGTTGAATATACATGAGTGTTTCATCTGAAAAAGACTCCCAGATTTCTGCTTCCTTGCTTCTAACCTCACTGTAACCAACCGTGATAAATGATCAGCAATCAAATTCTCACTCCTCTTCTTGTCACGGATTTCCACATCAAATTCTTTTAATAGAAGCACCCATCTGATCAAACGTGGCTTAGAATCTGGCTTTGTCAACAAGTACTTTATAGCTGCATGATCTGTGTAGATAATCAACTTAAACCCAATGAGATAAGGTCTAAATTTCTCCAACGCATACACTATAGCCAGAAACTCCTTTTCAGTAGTAGCATAATTCAACTGAGCATCATTCAAAACTTTGTTGGCATAATAGATTGTGTGAAACACCTTCTCTTTTCTTTGACCAAGCACGACTCCTATTGTTTAATCACTAGCATCACACATTAGTTCAAAATTCTGATTCCAATTTGGAGCTACAATCACTAGAGTCGACATCAATTTGCTTTTCAAGATGTCGAAGGCTTTCAAACATTCTTCATCCATCACAAAGGGTGCATCTTTAACAAGAAAATTACTCAATGGCTTAGAAATTTTCGAGAATTCTTTAATGAATCTTTTATAAAATCCAGTATGGCCTAAAAAACTTCTAATTCCCTTCACACTTGTTGGTGGAGGAAGTTTCTCAATGACCTCTACTTTGGCTTTATCCACTTCAATCCCCTTAGCAGAAATCTTGTGACCCAACACAATTCCTTTTGTTACCATGAAATGACATTTCTCCTAGTTAAGCACAAGATTCGTTTGAAACATCTGTTAAGGACAATATCGAGATTCGCCAAACACCTCTAGAAAGAATCTCCAAATACCGCAAAATCATCCATGAAGACTTCAATACACTTCTCTATGAGATCTGCAAAAATTGCCTGCATACACCTTTGAAACATGGCTGGAGCATTACATAGCCCAAATGACATCTTTTTGTAGGCAAAGACACCAAAAGGACATGTGAAGGTCGTCTTCTCTTGGTCTTTTGGATCTACCACAATTTGATTGTATCCAGAGTATCCATCTAGAAAGAAATAAAAAGCCTGACCTGCCAATCTCTCCAACATCTGATCCATGAAAGGAAGAGGAAAATGATCCTTCCTAGTGGCTTTATTTAACTGCCTGTAATCAATGCACATTCGCCATCCAGTAACAGTCCGAGTAGGAATAAGCTCATTCTTATCATTATAAATTACTGTCATCCCACATTTCTTTGGAACTACCTGTACTGGACTCACCCATTCATTGTCAGAGATTGGATAAATAATGCCAGCTTCTAGGAGCTTCAATACTTCTTTTCTAACTACCTCCTTCATTAGTGGATTTAGCCTTCTCTGTGGTTGAGCACTCAGCCTTTAGTCATTCTTCATAAAGATTTTGTGCATGAAATAAGTTGGACTTATACCTTGGAGATCAAAGATTGACCACCTAATAGCTTCTTTGTTGGCTTTCAATATTTCTACCAACTTTTCTTCTTCTTCAGGAATCAAAGAATTACTAATGATGACTGTCTTTGTTTCATCTTCTTCTAAGAAAACATACTTCAAATGTGATGGTAACATCTTTAGTTCTAACTACTTTTCTTTGACTTCTTCTTTGGTATGAATCGTCTCAAACTTAGCATCCATCACTGAAATCTCCTTCAATGTCTCCAAATCCGTCATACATTCATCAATTAATTTTTGTTCTTCTTCATTCAAGTCTTCACAAGCATCAATAAGAGTTTTCTCTAATGTAGAAGAATAACATACCATCCTTTCTTGTACTATACAAACTTCATCAAGTATATCAAATTGGAAACATGCTTTATCATCTTTAGGATGTGTCATGGCTTTGAATACATCAAAATTCACTTCTTCATCTTGAACTCTNCTGCTTCTTCATTTGTCACATACCACCTTAGAAGATTATCTGCTCCAATTTTGAACAAATAAGGATCATCCCAGATAAATTGCTTGGGATCGTGCAAAATTTCTCTCTTTGTTGCCAATAAAGATCTTCTGGAATTACTCCTGCAGCTTTAAAATTGGCTATATCAGCAAACTACGGCCTTTGTTGAATATACATGAGTGTTTCATCTGAAAAAGACTCCCAGATTTCTGCTTCCTTGCTTCTAACCTCACTGTAACCAACCGTGATAAATGATCAGCAATCAAATTCTCACTCCTCTTCTTGTCACGGATTTCCACATCAAATTCTTTTAATAGAAGCACCCATCTGATCAAACGTGGCTTAGAATCTGGCTTTGTCAACAAGTACTTTATAGCTGCATGATCTGTGTAGATAATCAACTTAAACCCAATGAGATAAGGTCTAAATTTCTCCAAGACATACAATCTACCCAAAAACTCCTTTTAAGTAGTAGCATAATTCAACTGAGCATCATTCAAAACTTTGTTGGCATAATAGATTGTGTGAAACACCTTCTCTTTTCTTTGACCAAGCACGACTCCTATTGTATAATCACTAGCATCACACATTAGTTCAAAATTCTGATTCCAATTTGGAGCTACAATCACTAGAGTCGACATCAATTTGCTTTTCAAGATGTCGAAGGCTTTCAAACATTCTTCATCCATCACAAAGGGTGCATCTTTAACAAGAAAATTACTCAATGGCTTAGAAATTTTCGAGAATTCTTTAATGAATCTTTTATAAAATCCAGTATGGCCTAAAAAACTTCTAATTCCCTTCACACTTGTTGGTGGAGGAAGTTTCTCAATGACCTCTACTTTGGCTTTATCCACTTCAATCCCCTTAGCAGAAATCTTGTGACCCAACACAATTCCTTTTGTTACCATGAAATGACATTTCTCCTAGTTAAGCACAAGATTCGTTTGAAACATCTGTTAAGGACAATATCGAGATTCGCCAAACACCTCTAGAAAGAATCTCCAAATACCGCAAAATCATCCATGAAGACTTCAATACACTTCTCTATGAGATCTGCAAAAATTGCCTGCATACACCTTTGAAACATGGCTGGAGCATTACATAGCCCAAATGACATCTTTTTGTAGGCAAAGACACCAAAAGGACATGTGAAGGCCGTCTTCTCTTGGTATTTTGGATCTACCACAATTTGATTGTATCCAGAGTATCCATCTAGAAAGAAATAAAAAGCCTGACCTGCCAATCTCTCCAACATCTGATCCATGAAAGGAAGAGGAAAATGATCCTTCCTAGTGGCTTTATTTAACTGCCTGTAATCAATGCACATTCGCCATCCAGTAACAGTCCGAGTAGGAATAAGCTCATTCTTATCATTATAAATTACTGTCATCCCACATTTCTTTGGAACTACCTGTACTGGACTCACCCATTCATTGTCAGAGATTGGATAAATAATGCCAGCTTCTAGGAGCTTCAATACTTCTTTTCTAACTACCTCCTTCATTAGTGGATTTAGCCTTCTCTGTGGTTGAGCACTCAGCCTTTAGTCATCCTTCATAAAGATTTTGTGCATGAAATAAGTTGGACTTATACCTTGGAGATCAAAGATTGACCACCTAATAGCTTCTTTGTTGGCTTTCAATATTTCTACCAACTTTTCTTCTTCTTCAGGAATCAAAGAATTACTAATGATGACTGTCTTTGTTTCATCTTCTTCTAAGAAAACATACTTCAAATGTGATGGTAACATCTTTAGTTCTAACTACTTTTCTTTGACTTCTTCTTTGGTATGAATCGTCTCAAACTTAGCATCCATCACTGAAATCTCCTTCAATGTCTCCAAATCCGTCATACATTCATCAATTAATTTTTGTTCTTCTTCATTCAAGTCTTCACAAGCATCAATAAGAGTTTTCTCTAATGTAGAAGAATAACATACCATCCTTTCTTGTACTATACAAACTTCATCAAGTATATCAAATTGGAAACATGCTTTATCATCTTTAGGATGTGTCATGGCTTTGAATACATCAAAATTCACTTCTTCATCTTGAACTCTTACTTTAAGCTTACCATTCTTCACATCAATTAAAACTCTAGCAGTCTTCATAAAATGGTCTCCCAAGAATGAGAGGCACATCTCCATTCTCCTTCATCTCCATTATAACAAAATGCACTAGAAATCCACTGCAAATCTCATTGAATGTGGTGAGATGATCATATGGACTTTCATGTAATAGCCCATTAAATTGGTTGCTCTTCAC